CAGACCCTAACACAGGAAAATTACTTTTTCTGTAAGTTTGAAGATGCAGAAATTATTGACTCTCAAAACTTAAATTTGGAGCTAAATCTACAATGACTATTAAATTGTGATAGAATTTTAAAATATTTGTGGTTCTGGTTGCTGTGAATAGGGCTATCCACATGAATATCTAAGCAGATATATTTGTTTAAGCTGCCATGATAAAGCAATGGAGCATAAATTAAATTTAAACCTAGGCTTTTGTTGTAGGCATTTTTTTTTAAATAGTGTCTGGTTTTGAACTCAAGAGAAGTAAATGTTGAAATAGGAATAAAAATTGGGATCTTTTAGTCACCCAGTAGGTTTTGCATTTACCTTTTCCCTCCCTGTATGTCATAGAATCATAGCATCACAGAATGGTTTGGGTAGGAAGGGACCTTTAAAGATCATCTAGTCCAGCCTCCCTGCCTTGGACATCTTTTACTAGATCAGGTTGCTGAAAGCCTCATCTAACCTGAATTTGAACACTTAAATATTTTGCATATCTTGCCCTGGAATAAATGCCTGTATAGAAAAGAATGTCAACCAAGAGTCTGAGTGGAGATGCTTATCATAAGAAGTACTGACCTTCCTTTTAGACATTTTCTGGTTCTACTCTAATGCTAGAGCATTCTGTTATTTTTGCTGGCCAGTTAAAAGACTACTATGTCAAATACCAAGATGATATAAAAAATTAAGATTTCTGTTCTGTTTACTGATGAAGCTTATAAAGATATGAATACACACACATGTATATAGTGGTCCAGTCTGTTGATATAAAATTGATAGAATGATGAGCAGATTAGTTTAGATTGAAAACTGTAACTAGAGACATTTCATATCAAATATGAAGTACAGCTTCAGCATCTGTCCCTACCTGCTCCCAGAAATCTTCTTTGCTTGTGGAATACTGCCAAATCAACTTCAGATTTCCAAATGCAATGAATGCACTTTTTACTCTTTTAACATTTCTAATACACTTAAAGGTTTTTTTCCTAAAGAATCTAATTTAACATAATTTCATAGTTTAATAAGCAGCCGTTATTTTCAAGTTATTTTCTTTTTTTCTCTACAAGCAAGAGTAATTTTAACAGCTGTTAGAGTAGATAACTGAAATTGTATGGCAAAGAGACACCTCATATTGAAAAGTGGAATGGTGGAGACTTCTTATAGAAAGTGCTGTAGCTGTGCTGTGTACATGCATGGATCTTTATTTTTCCCCCTTTTAATATGCTGAAGGGAGGCATTGTTTTATTCTGGCCCTCTGCCTTTGTGTATTGCAAATTTTGAGGGGACTTCCTGGGGTGCATTAGAAGAGTGTGGCCAGCAGGTCAAGGGAGGCTCTCCTCCCCCTCTACTCTGCCCTGGTGAGGCCTCATCTGGAGCACTGTGTCCAGTTCTGGGCCCCACAGTTCAAAAGGGACAGGGAACTGCTTGAGAGAGTCCAGCACAGAACCACCAAGATGATTAAGGGAGTGGAGCATCTCCCTTATG